GTGGATGCAATTCATTAACTAAGAAATTAAATGTGTTACGATTTACTCGAAAATGCTCTTTAAATTCACATTCCTCCATTTGAGTAAAAAATCTCATTAAACCATTGAGAACTTTTCGGCCTAACCCAAACTTTTCTTTCAATTAGATACCCTTGTTGATTTAACTTAAAGGAAGCTAAATCTAAATATGAAAATGGGTGGGGGATTGATTCATCATTGAATAATGTTCTATTTCTTGATCGAAGTACGGCCAAAACGCTTTCCATGTTTTTCCAATAGCTTTTTCCTTTACAGATGTCTCCCTAAAAAGCTATTAAAACTATATAAATATATTAAATAAATATAATAATTATTATATTACAATTCAAGGGAAATTAAAACACATTTTTAAAAACCATTTTGTTAGAATTGATACAGCATGATCTGTTAACAAAAACAAAAATGAAACATGTAATGCAATTTGTATAAATTAAAAGCAAAACACATTGGCAAAAAACATATCACTATAATTCATCTACAGGCTTGCTTCATATCGCAAAAAAAAAATTATTTGGTAAAAATACTAAATGTATATAGCATAGAGATACAAAAAAAGGTATTTATAAAATAACATGACAAATTTAAAAATTACCACCAGACATGCATTTTAATGCTTGAAATCACAAAATATTTTTATTTTATATAAAGTAAAAATTCCTTTGATAATAGTAATATGGTAACATGAAAAAATATATATAAATAGAGCTTCATCTACAAGCTTGTACAATATTTCACAAACCATCTCTTTAGTTAAAACATTGAAAAACCTTATGAAATATATATTGCAAAGAATTGTAAACAAGGTATACTGTTGAAAAAATACTGACCTTTCAACTTTAATATAATTACTAAAAAGATATCTTGACTAATAGAACACCTTATTTTTTTATTATAAATTTATAATATTCTACTTGGGCTTTAGATGCATTTTCAATTGCATCGCAAATACGCTCTAAAGCAACAACCTCTCTGATTCGTAGCTCTTGCGAACGGATTTGAACATCTAGATTTTTATTTGCTATTTTTAAATATTCAGAAAAAAAATTTGTTTTTTTATTTTTTCTCACCGGTTCAGTTTTTGCTATTTTATTTAAAGTTTTTTCATCATCAGAGTTCCTCCGTTTATTGCAGCCGGATGTAGATTGAGTTGGTTCCTCATCAGGAATAGTGACAATTGATTGCACATCACTTGTATCATCCAAAGCTTCAATATTTAAAATACCTTGCCATCTTCCATTGTGGCAATCTGTAAATAAAATATACACATTAAAAAAATTACACACTTGAGAAATGATTATAAATCATGTTTCAATCAAAATTTATCTCTTGACTTTGAAAGTCATGAGATAAATTTTGTCTTGAAGTCATTTTACTCCCTTCCTTCCCTGAACAAAAAGGATCTATTTAGACAATAGCATTTTACAAATTGATCTAGCCAATATTAAAATATCCCTTTTATAATTTAAAAACTTTATATTATATGTTTTTGATCTTTATGTTTTAAGTCTGCCAAATGTTGCAAAACTAAGAACCTCTTAAACCTTATTTTGTAGAAATAGTTAACATGCTTGTTTATATTACTTTAAAAAATATATAGCACTTTAAAAAATACAACAATAAATTATAATAAACTTACCTGACCATCTTGAAAATCTTGAGTAGAAAAGTTTTGACTTTGAGATAAAAGATCATTGTCAAAGGAAGCTTCACCACCTATTATTTTGGCAACAATATCGTAAGGCCACCATTTACTAGGAGCTCCTCCCGATAAACCAACTTGAAGTTTTTCTCGTCTATGAAAAGTATACATAAATATAAGTAAATATAAGCACATCATTAACACCATATAACATTAATCAAATAACTTTAAATAGACAAATTATTATTAACGAAATAATTATTAACAAAATTAACGAACTATTAACGAATAATAAAATAACGAATTATTAACAAAATAATTATCAATGAGCTGTAAATCTTCAATACTGAATAAGATTTAAGTAATTTTTAATATAACACTCAGTTACAAACTAAATTGCAATTAGATATTATTACACATGGTTAGTTTTGTAAAATACTTTCAGTATTTCAGTGAGGTATCAAACATTAAATGTAGAATATGTACATACCTAAATTTTTTCCTCAAATTACTAATTTTAGATTGAATTTGATATCCAGTTAACGGAGGTACGATATTAAATGTGTTTGAATATTCAGCTTCCATTTGTTTGTAAATATTTGTGTTTCTTCTTGCAGATGTTAATGCTTTGTAATTATCTTTCCATAAATCTAATAATAATCTTGTGTTAGCCATATTCCAAACAAACTTGTTTAAAGAAGATGTGCAAAGACCAATATTTGTTGTGCTAGCATCAATACACTCTTTTTCTGAATGCTGAGACATTGTGTAAAATTAAAGTTTTACCTACTAAAAAGGATAAGTACATTAAATCTTGCAACAATAACAACAACAACAAAAAGAAGAGAAATAGTTAATAATAAAATTAAAGGTTAAACTTCATAATTGCTATAAATGTTATGGGCTTAAAATAATTTAATAATGTTATGGGTTTACTAAATAATTTAATAAATTGCCAAAAACTGGTAGCCAAGAGAACAGAAAATTTCAGATGCTACTTTTACTTTTTTTTACTTTTCCATGCAATGTGATAATTATGTTATTTAATAACATTGATCTTTCAACACTATTGTTTATTTCTATTTTTAAATGTCAATAATTGTAGTACATTGTGGCAAAGATATAAGGTACAGTCATATCAATACAGTCAATCAATAATATATATTCTGAATAATGGTCTTACTTTCACAATTATTCATAAACAGTAAATTAACTAATATTAAGTAAATACAGAATATTTATGAGGAAAATACTAATGGTAATGTTCACAAATTAAAATAACAAGATAAGACAAAGCTAATATAATAAAATATATATGACATATAAATAAAATATATGACAAAACTCATATATAACAATATATACCAATAATAATATTATTAATAATATTAATATAAATAATAATAACAATGATGATGATAATGATAATAATATTAACAATTGTTATTGTTGTTATTTTTATCATTATTATTACTATTATTATTCTATTATTATAATTATTATAATAATAATAATGATTATTTTTATTATTATTATCACTGTTGGCACGGCCAATGATAAATAACTCTGCTTATTAGTTCAAAGTTGAATTTTATAAATAAAATTACTATAAGTTTATTAAAAATGCATTAATAGCAATTCTTGCAAAGAATATAATTAAATAAAAACTATTAAACAATGAAAATTAAACTTTCTTAACGCAAGTTAAATGTTACCTTGAATTATACTTCTTGTTAATTCAAATTAAAACTGATATTAATAAGAATAATACTGTCTTTGTAATGTTATATTTTAAGATTAAGTTTTTAAACACACATATATAACTTCTTTTTAAATTAATAATACACTAATAATTAAATTTCTATTCTATTTATACAAATTTTAAATATCGTTAAAAATAACTTGAAATTTGTGATGGTCAAATAATTGTTTTTAAATAATTGCCCACCATCTGGTCTACTCATGATTAATCCCACACTAGTGGGATCGGAATTTCCTTGGTTGCATGAAATTACCACAAGTTTTTACTCAATGATAAAGATATGAAATTATATTCAAAGAAATGTTTTGAATTCAATTAAAAAGATGAAAGGCAAAAACTAAAAGTTTCAAGGCAACATGTTGAAAGGCAAATAGTATATCGATAATCTTGTCTTGATATATGACCAAGACCTAGGACAATGCAGAGATCAAGGACTAAAAACTCTGGTTAAGATGACAACAACTTTGTAAAAAAAATTGTTTGAGTTACTTTCACAACAAATTTGCATCTTGCAATCTATTTTTATTGAATCATTTAGCTTATATGCATACGCTTATTTTAAAAATAGTTGAAAATAGGGACCATTTTTTGGGTAGGTACAATCGGCAGAGCAGAGCAGATTGGCAGAGCAGATCATTGTAATGTTGATAGCGGCAGAGCAGATTATCCAATCAGCCATTTTCTAATGTGTGATCTCCCAAATATTATTTAGCAAATCACACATTATTCAAATATTATTTGGCAGATCACGCATTATTAAAATATAATTTTGCAGATCACAAAATAGAAAACGGCTGATTGTCTGTCTGTGATAATCTGCTCTGTCGTTATTATTATTACAATGGTCTGCTCTGCCAATCTGCTCTGCCGGTTGCATTATCAGATCACTTTTTTTTAGGAAAAGTATTGCGACAATAAAAAACGTTTATGTTTAAAAAGTCAACTCATAGTTCATTCTATTCGAAGTGCATCGTTTTTCATAAAAATATTTGGCAATTACATAATAAAAATTCTATTATATGATCTGCCGAATTATTTGGCAGATCACACATTAGGAAACAGCTGATTGAATAATCTGCTCTGCCGTTATTAATATTTCAATGATCTGCTCTGCCAATCTGCTCTGCTCTGCCAATTGTACCCCCATTTTTTATACAAAACCAAATAAATGTTCCGGAACATTTATTTGTTCTGGGTTGGCGGGACAGTAACAAAGTCCCTCAAATGTTCCTTGAATTTTTGTTCCATTTGCGTTCACACGAGAGGATATTTGTTCATGTTCCATGTTCCACGGAATGTTCCATCAAATGTACCCTCGTGTGAACAGCCTATAAGGTATTGTAGGTCACTTGTTATCATAAAATAAAAAATATGTCAAGTTTTACATGAATATTTTAATATATTGGAAAAATATAATTATCTAATTTAAGTTAAGAGTGATTATTTTGCAATTAAGTGTGGTTATTTCCAATAAATGTGTATAGTTATAGAGAAAAAAAATGCATAAAAATGTTTATTTATTAAATTTATTTAATTTAGTGATACTATATTACTTTTCAGAACATCAAAACAGAAATGGAACCAGAATTGGCTCTACTAAATCAACAAATGGAACTAGAGTTAAGTCTATTAAACCAAATGGTAAAGTCTTTAAGTAGTCAATTTAAATTCTGCTTAAGATATAATGTATTTTTAAATTTTATTTTATAGCTTAGCTTCATTTGTTTATATATATATATATATATATATATATATATATATATATATATATATATATATATATGTATATATATATATATATATATATATATATATATATATATATATATATATATATATATATATATATCAGCCCTCGAAATAACGGCTCAATCAATGATCGGCTATTTTTAGACAAATTTCGAAAAATTCAAGGGAAAATAAGCTGTTTTTGTGAAAAAATTACATTTGATCGGCAAGCTTTGAAAAACTAATTCGAGCGCTGATATATATATATATATATATATATATATATATATATATATATATATATATATATATATATATATATATATATATATATATATATATCAAATTTAAAAGAACTAAACCGATGGTTTAGTTCTTTTAAGTTTGAAAATGAACATTACATTTTTACGATGCAATACACAGTATTACATCGTATGCATAGTACTACTAAAAAAAAAATCAAGATTGTGTCGGCATTTATTTATAATTTAATTTAATTTTTTTTTCATCAGGGAGAAGGGAGGGGGATAAGGAGGTAAGGTGAAAGAATGGAAAGAAAGATAGCATATGTAACATATGCTATCTTTAGATAAAGATAGCATATGTAACATATGCTATCTTTCTTTCCATTCTTTCACTTTACCTCCTTATCCCCCTCCCTTCTCCCTGATGAAAAAAAAATTAAATTAAATTATAAATAAATGCCGACACAATCTTGATTTTTGTTGCTATTAGTATTGTTTGTTTTGAAGTTGAAACAAAAAACTTAACATATTTACATAGTAACTCTGCAACACAATAGCTTTTACAATTTCTTAATGCAAAAACAGAACATAAGATTTTTTTTTTGTGGGGTATTATCTTGTCCCATAAATATAATCGCAAATAAAGATAGGATGGGGGGTTAAATTTTAAAAAATAAAATAAGCAAAATCTTTAATGCAACGTAGAAACAAGCTTTCACCATAACAACATAGAATTAATTTTGCCAAAAAATTACCTACTTCTCACACTTTTGTTTGATATTGACAAATGTCAACTCTAATTGCATTGGCTTATAACATATATAGATATACATTTGATAACTTTTAGATGTCTACTTGTATATATACAGTAGTGCAGTTAGTTTTATAAAATATATAGTTATTATATAATTTATGCATTTTTATTATGCAATTAGGAAATTTTTTGATTAAATTTTTTTTTAATTTCAGTAACTCGCAGAGTAGAAGTTACTAGACAAACAGAAACTAGACCAACAGGTAAAGTTATGGAATAGTTTGTTTAAAACTTGCTTATATGTCAATGTTTTATAAGAATTAACAACAAAAATTTGCAATTCTTTCTAATTAAATATGTCTTGTTCTATTAAAGGGGTTCCAGAAAGTAGAAAGACAAAAAAGAGGGAAAACTCAAAATCAAGAGGTAAAATTATTTTATTTCTTACATCTTGTTAAAAAAGGGTTATCCACAAATCACGATGTTAGAATTATTTTGTTCTATCTCCATTTTTTTAAAAAAATTTATTGATTTCGTTATGTACCTCAAAATAATGCTTTTTTACAATTTTGAAACCTAAGTTATAATCTAAAAAAGTTGCGAAGAAAACATAAGTAATAAAAATCTTTTTATATGTTGTCATCAAAAAGTTGCAAAGTTTTAAATCATTTTATCTTCAAACTCTAAAATGCAGAGATATAACAAGAAAATTATAACCTCACAAAATTATGTTACACAAGAGGGAGATTTGGTTAAGGATTTTGTGATAATTTGCTACAGGGGAATGGGGTATTTAATTTTGTAATGCAACATTTTTTTTTTACTTTTAAATCTGAAAAAGATATTTCTAATGATTAAAAATGCCTAGGCAAACATAATAATTAGTTGATGTGTATACACTCCACTCGACTATTCCATTTTAAGTTAGTAAATTAATGTAGACTCAGTTGCGGCTACGGTAGGCACTTCAACATTTTTTTAAAATATAAAATGACAAAAAAACAAATATAATAAGTTAGAGCTAAATATTAACATTCAAAAAATACCAAACTAATTGTTATATTGTTGTTAGTTGAAAAGTTATGCAACTTTTAAATCGCAAAAATTATGATTTTATTAGTATAACTTGATGTTTTGACATTTTTAAGAAGCGCATTAATGTTTCTGCCATGTCTATTGTTTTACAGCCTCACATCAAAAGTAACAATAAACAAGGCCGTTTTTATTTAAAACTCCGTAATAAGAGTAATTGGAATTGTAGTGGCTAGGACACCACCCGCCCTTGACATAATAAATCTGCAACAATGCATTTTTCAAAATATTTTATTTAATGGTAATTAATAAAGGTTTTACAACAAAATTAACAATCTTTTTTTTTTTTTTTTTTCACAATTTTCTAAGTAAAAACTTTGAAAAATTGAATTTCCCTCTGTTTTCTCATAAAAATTTCCAATTTAGTCTTGAAAATGTACAAGTACTAAAATGAAATTTAATTTTTTTTTTAAAGTTAAATTTTTGGTGGGAGGCTCATTTTTTGTGTGGTCAATGCTCATCATTCAAAATTATGCACATTATTAGGGTAGTACAATGCTATAATTGATTTTGTTATTAAATCAAAAAAACACCAAATCATTATATATGTGATACATATATATAGATACATATGGGATACATATATATAGATACATATGTAATGATAAGATGAGTTGTTAAAGTTAGCTTAACTTTGAAGAAATCAGTAGTTGCTACGAAGCTATATGATTGTTAATTTGTCTCTGGGTTGTAGTAACCGTTTAACCGTCATTGGCTCATCATTTAATCCTCATTGCCTTGTTTTTAATTTTTATCATTTTCCTATTAAAATTAAAACTTACTAAGTAGATATATCATAATTATTACTAAATTGGAATTGCATTTACAAACCCCCTTGTGAATTTAGGATAGTAACCCTTAAGTTACTATCCTAAATTCACAAGGGGGTTTCACTCTATAAATTGTAGGTATTAATGTGTTGTAAAAAGAAGCAAAATTACAAAACAGTTGCATATATATATATATATATATATATATATATATATATATATATATATATATATATATATATATATATATATATATATATATATATATATATATATATATATATATATATATATAATTGCATTTATTTTTTTAAAATACTATATTATATGGTATAAAAAATATATATTTATATTATTTTTTTAATAAAATATATATTGTTATAAAAGTTTTACTGGAACATAGCGACCCCTCTTTTTTAAAAAGACAAGTTTATTTTTTTTACAAAAACAAGGTTTAGGAAAAATGAACTCTCTAATGTTTAAAATGAGTTTTATAATTTATTTTTTTTCGATTTTTGCGGTACAGAATTGTATCTTACTGATACCATGGCTTGCTTTTATTGCAATTCTGATTGCAAATCGCAATGTTGCTAAAGATATTTATAATAGTTTATATTATATTTAAGAGTAAATATTATTATACATTTGTATTTAATAAAAATAATATTTAATACGAATTTCGTGAGTAATAATGTTACATGATTGTTAAATTTTAGATTATTTTTTTGGCAAATTGATACATAATTGTTTTTCTTACTTAAAAACAATTTTTTTTTAATTTAGTAATTAATTTTTCGTAATTAAATTGATATTCTCATTTTTGTTCTATTTACGAAAAAATAGTTGTTCAAACAATCTTAGAAATAATATTCTGGATAAATAAAATAAATGGTGATAAATGATATTAATAAATTTTTATTTTATTTTAGGACACTGATCAAACGTTGACCATTAACGATATTTTTTGTTGGTTGCACGGCGTCATTTTGTTTTGCACGATACGCGTCAAAAAATTATTTTTGCTATGAATACACGACGAAAACAATTTGTTTTTAAATAATATGATTTAAACAATTGAATTTGTATTGAACATTTTTTTCAAAAGTTTATAAAAATAATTTTGCTAAAATGTAAAACATGTTACGTACTATCGAGGTATCGAGAAGTAATTATGTAATGAATTAAAAGAACAAAAGAGCAAAATGTTAAAGTGTTTTATTTAATTATTAGTGTTTTATTTAATATTAAAATGTTTCTTTTTTAAATTTTAAAAAAGAAATATTTTAAAATTTAAAAATACTTCATTTTTTTAAATTTAAGGCTAAAAAATTTTATGATTGATCAGACATGTCTGACCAGCCAGACATGACGTAAGGCTTAACATTTTTATGGTCAATCAGGTACTATTTGATTTAGCTTTAAAGCTCAAAATCATAAGGTGGTACAAAGTTTTGCGTTGTCATGCAAGATTTTCATATTTTTGGTGCCTGACAACGATTTATTGAAAATGAACAGTTTTCATTAGGCCGGGTGAATAAAAACGAGCAATTGCTTTTACTCAGTAATTGGTCAGCTTTACGTGAATAAAAGCTAAATCAATTTTCCATAAGTTTTTATTTACGTAAAGCCGAACATTCACTAAGTAAATTGTTTAACTTTACGTGAATAAAAATTTGAGCAAAACTGCTAATGTTTTTATTCACGTAAAGCTGACCAATTATTGAGTAAAAGCAATTGCTCATTTTTACTCACCCGGCCTAATAACACCTTAAAGCTTGAAGGGGTCTTGATGTATGACTTATATTTGTTTCTCTTTCCAAAACAGAAGCTATTTATTTAAACACTACTGTAACCATGCATTTATTTGTCCGACAATTTTTTTCAGCGACGTTCATCGGACTTGTGGTTCATAAAAAAACTACACAGTTGTTATCTTTGTTAAATTTAGCCAAAATCAACTGGAAAAAAGCTACACGCTTTTTGAGCTATTGTGAAACCCGACGTGATGTGAGTTTCTAAAGATGATTTTAAATATTTTTTTTGATGGTACCACAGAAAAACAAAACTTGGGTTTTAAGTAGTAAACGACCGGGGCCGGGTTTGATAAAATATGGCAGAAGCTGCATAAACATTTATACATCCTAAAGTATATTTTTTTTATTCAAAATTCTTGTTATATTTTGTATATATATGCATATATAAACATCATTATGATCATCATTACCATCATCACCATCATCTTCTTCTCTTTCACAAATGCTATACCATATAAATAAACATCATATGCATATATAAACATCACATGCATATATAAACATCATTATGATTATCATTACCATCATCACCATCATCTTCTTCTTTCAGAAATGTTATACCATACAAATACTAAAGTTTATATAAATATGAAAGAATATAGTGTGTCAGCGTATAAATAAATAGCAAAGATATATGTTTATATCCATAATATGTATGCATAAAACGCATCTCAGAAGCTTTTATACCTTCTTTACTAAAAGTTTGAAAGCTCAAATCTCATTCTACTCCATACTTTTCACCATCTTGAGCAGTTGCTTTAATAATCATTTATTTTATTTTTTTTACAAGAACATCTCTTTTAAAAACAAATGTCCTTTTATTATTCCAAGAAGCCAATTTAAAAAGGTTTTTTATTCTCAGTTTACTGCATCTTGCATATTATCTGTTAGATGTTAGGTTCAAGAGACTTTTGATTAGTCTTCGGCAATGTCATTAATTAAAGTAAGTCTAACATTTAATCTTATTAATTTAATAATATTTAATTAATATTTAATTTTAAAAAAATGCTAAATAAGTGGTTCCAATTATTCAAAACTCTAGAAAACACTTTGACCTCTCCAACTACCCTACGATTAGTCTTCATTCTGTTATTAGTTTCTTTATGTAAAGGTTTTGAGATTATTAAATTATTTCTTACTAACTGCAGTAAGAAAGTTATTTTTGAAGACCTACACTCTTCTTTCTTTCAAGTAACTTTTAAATCTTTGCTCCTGTATTGTTTTTTATCTACAATATCAATCTTCATTAAAATTTAACATCTAAAATGCCTCTATTTGTTGACGACTCAACTTTATACTCTTGTCTTGACAAAAAACTTTCACTTTTTGATTGCTTAGAACAAGCAGCTAATTTTTAATCTGATCTCTCTTCTGTAACAGCCTAACGCTTGCTGTGGCTTATGGATTTAAGTTCTGAACTTTAAATCTATATTTTTGGTTGACAACAAAACTCATTTATTTAGTGCAAAAAAATACTGTAATAATGCTGGTATTCCTATATTTATGAATAGCAACCCTATTACTCTCATAAAAAGTCTAAAAGCACATTCTAAATCTAATGCGGTTGTGGTGTAGTGGTAGAGGACTTGCCTCTTAAGCAAGAGGAACCAAGTTCGATCCCCACCACATGTAGTGATCTAAGCAGCGACCTTGGTTTTCAAGGTTCGTGTTTTGGAGTTATATAGTTGAGAGAGTGTTATAACCACAATTAAGTAGCCTCCTCGTCTGTAGTGACATTTTCAGCATTTAGGAGGTAAACTAACATTAAAAAAATAATAAAAATAAATTAGACCTGCTTTATCCGCCCAGTTTGAGCCACTCTCACATTGTTGTAAGGTTGCATTTCTTTCTTTTTTCTACAAATACAATCATGGTCAATGCTCAAGCAAAAACTCATTCTTGCTTGTTTCTTATTCAACAAGTTGCATCCTTTTACTGTATCTGTCCCTTCATGCTATTAAAACTTTTATCAATCCAATTTTTTTTCCTTGCACATCAAAAAAAAATATTATGACTATAAGCCATCTTTATGTCTTTCTTTTATATATAAACCACAAACTTTCATGTCTTCTGTTAACTATTTCCAAGTATTTTTACTTATTCTCTATTTTAAAGTAACTCATAACTTTATAGTAGTTGCTTGCAATCTTGTTGGAAGTAAATTAAAGTTTGAAAATATATGTATATGCTAGTGTTTAATAAATAGTAAATATAAGCATGAAATTATAATAAATAAAGTATTTTAAATTTTTTCAAGCCCCAGCTATCAACCCCTGCTAAATCTTATAGTTTAGCCGGGGCCGGGGTTGAAAAAAGTCTCATTTTAAGCCGGGGCCAGGGCCCCCGTCACTTACTTGCTTTTAGTTGATGTAAAGAAATGAGCTGATATTTGTTGATAAGTTGCTTTGCAATATTTGTATCGTTCTAGCTGTATTTGGAGCTAATAATTTAATACCCTCAATCGATCTTCAGTCATGTGCAAATGAGCGTCGTCAGCGCAAGCTAAAATCTATTCATTGCAGATTTTTTTAACAAATTTTATTTGTTTAGGAAACAAAAATGTATGTTAGATAAAAATAAAATTTCTTATTTTTTTTAAATAAACGTGATTTGCAAAAAAAACGTGTCCAAGTTTTAAAATAAAGCTGTGCTATATTTTGTGCATAATTAAAAGCTTCACATTATGTAATAGAAAAAAACTTTTTTAAAGGAAATCTAAACATAATTACATCTGGATACCCAAAGCATTTGTTACATATTCTTTTAGAATATTTTAATATATATAATATAATTCGAAACATATTTTTTCAGAGATTCTCAACCATGATTGTGGAGTTTCATGTTGTATTTCTTCGCTTGTTATGTAGGTTTATCAATATATAATTTATTTGTGTTTTTATTAGTACTATTTAAAAATTATTTAACAAATGCTGATGAAAATTTTGTAAATTAGTAAATAAATGCTAATGAAAATTAAATTAAAGTTATCAAAGAAAATCATCTATATATTACATTAATTTTAAAAATAAACCAGTGAGCATTAACTTTTGACCAACAAAAAAAAATTAAAATAATATAGTAGATGCTATAAAGTTACATATAATTAAGCATACAAAATAAATTTTATAGAAAACAACATGTCAATTAAATAGTAAATACTATTTAATTTTATACTTACTTATAAATTAGAACTAATAAAAAAAAGTGAGCTAATTTATGGCCAATGGTGTATATATATATATATATATATATATATATATATATATATATATATATATATATATATATATATATATATATATATATATATATATATATATATATATATATATATATATATATATATATATATATTTATAGACACTGTAATGCATTACATAGTATACTATGCTGGAACATTGTTACAATTTTTCAAGTTTGGTTTGCATACATCAAATGTGTGTGCATATGATATGCATTGTAATATAATGTAATAATATGCACACAAATTTATTGCTTACGAATTTTATATAATATATGATTAAATGATTATAATATATATTGTAATATATTATATAAACTATATTTTATAGTTTATATTATAGTGTATAAAATATGCAACATAATAAATTTATATACAATTTGTGTATAAATATTTTATTTTATATAGTTTATAAGTAACTTATGAACTTTTTTAGCCTATTATATGCATTATAATCATTCACACATAATTTTATATGTTTTTTTTAGCTATATCAAGGTTGCCACTATAATTTTAAAAGTTTTTCCCTGAGTTTTCCCTAAGTATTCCCTGAGTAAAGTACATTCTTCCCTGAGGTTAGTTTTTAAATTCCCCGAGTTTTCCCTGACTTTTCTATATTCTTTCCGGTTCATCAACAAGATTTTTATTTTCCTTACTTAAACACAATCTTTACATTTGACAAATTAAAACTTTGACTTCAACACCTACATCTTGCAAACTTTTATTATATGTATTAGCAAAATATTTTTGAAAAAAAAAAATTATTGTACAAAATTTCAAAAAAAAAAAAATATTCTCCCTAATTTTCCTCTGAATTTTATAAAAATTTAAAAAAATCACTGAGTTTTCCAGGTTTTTCCCTGGGATTCATGCTATTCCAGGTTTCTTGGTTGAGTGGCAACCCTGTATATACATGAATGTAAGTGTATCATACATTTATAAATTAAGATAGTGTTGACTTATCAAAAATAGTGTTACGTGAACTTTTTTTTCAGAAAAAAGTTTAATTTAGAAATGAAAACTTGAATACTCTGAAAACAATTTCAAACCAAAATAAGACTAATTTAAATAAAAAAGTTAAAAATAATAACTTGTGACGCTCAGATTTTTAGAAAAAGAGTTTTGAAAATATAAACAAATTACGCTTTTAGCAGT